GGAGTGTCCAGAACAGCCTCCCCCCTCATGTAAGAAGAGCCATACCGGGTCGGATTAGTGGCTCTTCCAGCCTGGTGGCTTGTCTGCTGACAGCTTCCAATGCAGGTGCTTCAGAGGGAATGAACACAACTTAGCAATTATCAAGTGATTCACCTCCTATTACCCTGTCCCAGTTTCTTGCAAACAGAGGCCAGGGATTCAGGACAGGGGGTTTCATCCCTGTTCATCTAACAACCATCTTGATGGACCTGTACTGCATGAACTTAGCTCATTCTTTCTTGAACCCAGGTATACGTCTAGTTTTCACAAAAACCCATGCCAGTGAGTTCCACAGGTTGATGGTATAGAGGCAGGGGGCAGGGGGGCCTTGCATGTACCTTTTTAATGATTACACTATCATATGCATAGGGGAGAGCACGTTGCCTGTGAGGGGCAATGGGGTGTGAGTGGGAAGAATGGAGTGCACAGGGGAGAGCACAGTGTGTGGTGGGGAGTAGAATGCATGTGAGAAGTGGGGATAATGTGAGTGGGGATTGGGGTGCACGGGGAGGAGCAGAGTGAGTATGAAGAGTGGGGGATAAGGTGCTTGTGGTGGGGGAGCAGAGGTTTGTGGGAGGGGGGGAGGGGAGGGGAGAAGATGAGAGGCAATGAGGTATGGGGGGAAGGAGTGGGGTATGATTGTAGGGAGGGAGGCGAGTGGGATTTATATGCAGAGGACTTAGCCCCTTCTGCAGTGCTAGGTTTGGTGTGCCCATGTGGTGCAGGTCTATGGGCTTGTGCTGTAGTAGGCAGGTGCTGTACACAGGGGGTGGGCTCTGTCCCATAAAGGGCCCTGTGTCCCTGCACTGTGGGGCTGGGCCAAGCCAGGCTGGGAAGAGAGAGAGCTGTTCTGACAGCCAGGCAGTAAACAACAGGAAATCCAAATTGGCAGGGGCTGTGAGCAGCTGTATGTGTTGGGAGCTCTCCACCCATCCAGCCAGTGCTCCCACAATGGCACCTCTGTTAGCGCTGCACATGCTGAGGCAGTCAGGCCCTGGCGGCCGAGGGCCAGTGCTGAGGTGGTGGCAAGGCACTGGGGGGAGGATTTACTCTGAAAGGGTGGGAAATAGCCCTCCTCTGAGCAGGGATTGCGGATGGCCCATCCCTCTCCCCAGCAATGCAGCAGCCTCAGTAGGGAGTGTCCAGAACAGCCTCCCCCCTCATGTAAGAAGAGCCATACCGGGTCGGATTAGTGGCTCTTCCAGCCTGGTGGCTTGTCTGCTGACAGCTTCCAATGCAGGTGCTTCAGAGGGAATGAACACAACTTAGCAATTATCAAGTGATTCACCTCCTATTACCCTGTCCCAGTTTCTTGCAAACAGAGGCCAGGGATTCAGGACAGGGGGTTTCATCCCTGTTCATCTAACAACCATCTTGATGGACCTGTACTGCATGAACTTAGCTCATTCTTTCTTGAACCCAGGTATACGTCTAGTTTTCACAAAAACCCATGCCAGTGAGTTCCACAGGTTGACTGTGCATGGTGTGAAGAGGTACTTCTTTATGTTAGCTTTAATTTCATTTTGGATGACCCCTGTACTTCTGTGATGTGAAGGGGTTGATAATATGCCCTTACTCATCTTCTCCTCGGCAGTCATTATTTTGTAGACTTTTGTATCCCCTGTCGGTCATCTTTTTTCTAAGCTGAATAGTCCTAGTTTTTTTTTAAACTCTCTTCTTCATATCCCTGATCACTGTGTTTTTCATAGATTCTAAGGCTAGACATAACAAGTGTGATCATCTAGCCTCACCTTCTGTATAACATAGACCAGAGAACTTCACCAGAACAATTCCTAAAGCAGAGTTTTTTAGAAAAACATCCCGTCTGATTTAAAAATGGTCAGTGATGGAGAGTCCACCTAGAAGCGTGGTAAAATGTTCTAATGGTTAATAACTCTCCCTGTTATAAATCAACACCCCTTTTTGCAGTCTGAATTTGTCTAACTTGGATCACTTCAGACCTTTCTCTGCTAATTGAAGACCCCGTTATTGAACATTTCTTTCCCACGTAGCTGCTGTGATCAAGTCACCCCTTCATCTTCTTTGTTAAGATAATTATATTGAGTTCCCTGAGTCTGTAACTATTAGGCATATTTTGTAATCATGCTCAGGGTTCCTTGGACCCTCTCTAAGGGTAGGTCTACACAGCAAATAACAGCCATTATTTCAAAATAATTTTCCCAGCATCTACACAAGCCAACCGCTATTTCAAAATTAAATCGAAATAGTGAAGGGCTTATTTCAAAATTGGTAAACTTCATTCCACGAGGAATAACACCAATTTCGAAATTGCTATTTCAAAATAAGTGCTGTGTAGACACTTATTTCAAAATAGAGGGTCTCCAGCCCTTCCCAGGGTGCCCTGCTGGCCACTCTGGCCTCAACCAAGAACACTCCTCTCCCTCCCCCCTCCCTGGAGCCCTTAAAGGGGTAGACTCTGGCCACAGTGCCTGTCCCACCTCCACCCCTGCCAGCCCAGAGCCAGCAGTCACTGCCCCGACCCAGTGGCCCCAAAACATGAGCCAGCAAGTCACTGGCAGCCAGTCCTCCACCGCTCCCCAGGAGCAGTCTGCCAGCTCCCAGGAATCTGCCAGGGCCCAGAGAAGGCCGTGCCTTCCTGGTCCAGGGTAGAGATCATGGACATTATTCAGGTTTGGGGGGATGCCCCCAATGTCCATGATCTCTGCACTAGATGGAGGAATGCGACCATCTATGGCAGGATAGCTACCAGCCCGGCCACCAAAGGCCACATGGGAACACAGGAGCAGGTTCGCATGAAAATCAAGGAGCTGCAGCAGGCGTTTGCCAAGGCCACAGGGGCAGACACCTGCCCCTATTTTGATGCCCTGGACCGCATCCTGGGGGGCGGGATGGTCCGTGCCCCCCCAGGTGGTTGTCAACCCTGGGGCAGAAGGCCCTGACCAGGGCATGGAAGAGGAGGAGGGCCAGGAGCTGCAGGAGAGCGGAGGATCCCCGAGCTGTCCCAGCAGGCCTGTCGCTGGTGTCATCTGAGGCCAGGGAGGCATCAACATGTGAGTGCCGTCATTGTCCCCTTATGCGGGATGGGAGGGGGGCGGAATGGACGGAAACCAGGGACTGGCATGTGGGCCTTGCTGTCCACGGATCACGCAGCAACCTGTGCATGCGTGAGCATGTGCCGTGCCACCCTGGGCATGTGGCCCCAGTTGGCTGCCACACAGGGGCCTTACCCTGTTAGCCACTCACATGTATGTATGAAGAGGCATGACAGTCTCCTGACTCCAGGGTGGGGCACAGCAGGACACCCTCCCTCCACAAGGCCATTCTACATAGAGGCAGGAGACATCTCCTCCCCACACACACTATATACAGCACAGGGGCATGGGTGTGGTCTCCACCCCCCCCCCCCCCGCCACACTGTATACAGCACGGGCATGGGTGTGGTCTCTAGGTAGCTCCCACTCCCGGGGATAGTAGGACATTCCAAACATGGCCTCTGTGCAAGCACATCGGCTTTGATGGTGCAGGGCACGGTCATCCTCGCCTTGCAGAGCGGGGCTGGGCTTCACCCACTGTGTCCCCAGAGATAACTAACCACTTCTCTTGTTTCTCCACAGCCGCACCAGCTGCGCGTGCAGGGCGCACTACCCCACCCGGGACATCCTCCCACACCTGAGGGACCACCTGTGCAGTGGAGGGGTACCAACAGCAGCACCTGGGGGCATTGTGAGCTCTGTACCGCAGCCTCCAGCACTGGATGCAAGAAGACCTGCAGCTCTGGCGGGAGCAGCTTGCCCAGGGTTGTGCCATCTGCCAACAACTGCAGCGCGCGGGCCCCCAGCCTCCAGCACTGGATGCAAGAAGACCTGCAGCTCTGGCGGGAGCAGCTTGCCCAGGGTTGTGCCATCTGCCAACAACTGCAGACCCTGGTGCAGAGCGTGCTGCCTCCTGCCACTCCAGTGCCTGCTGCCTCCCCAGCTACTGCGCCTCCCCAGCTACTGCTCCTCCTCTCGCTCCTTCTCCCCCTCCATCCCCTCCTCACCTTCCACCCCTCCCGGGACACCAAGGTCCCTGCACCCACGGTGCTGCGAGACAGTTGGTCCGGCGAGACCCCCAACCCTGAGCCTCCCCTCCCCTTTTTCCCCCTTCCAGCTCCCTCCTCCCAGGTTTCCCCCTCCCCTCTCCCACCCCGTGTCCTCCCTTCTCCCGCCTCCTTTCCCCAGTCTCACCAGAGTTCCATCCCCCCCGCACCCAGTTTTGTTAAATAAGGAGAGTTTGTGTTCAGGAAAATATGTGTATTTTATTTGACATCGAGAAAGGGGGTTTGGGAGGAGTAAGTGGAAGGACGTGAGGGAGGAATGAGGCACAAGCCCCCAGTGGGGCACACCAAGGGAGGCTCTAAGTGCTCCTCAGGGTGGAAGCTCTCCCGCAGGGCTTCCTGGATACTGACAGCCCCCTGATGGACCTCCCAGATGATAGCCTGCAGAAAGTGCAGCCAGGCTCGCAGCAGCACGTCCACGAGAAGCACCAGAATATCCAGGGGCAGCTTTGGTTCCATGTTGCAAAGAGCTGTGGTGTCCCGAGTGAGGACAACCAGAGCACGCAGAGACAAAATGCCTTGCTGTCCCTCATTGAGATAGGCAAGCAAGCAGGGAAAGCTGAGAACTGGCTGTCTGGAGATGGGAACCCTTTAAGAACAGGCCTCAGATAGCCTCAGGCAGCAGCCACACAAAGTAACTCCTGACCTGATGCCCTTCCGTAACTGTTTCTGGCCGGCCTTAAATGCGATTCAGCATCCACTCAGTGTGGATGCGCTATTTCAAAATAGCCAAATGCTATTTCAAAATGCATTTTGTGTGTAGATGTGTTATTTCGAAATATCTTATTTCGAAATAACTATTTCAAAATTAGATATTTTGAAATAGCGCTGTAGTGTAGATGTACCCTAATTTATCAACATCCTTCTTGAATTGTGGGCTGAATACAGAGTTCCAGCAGTGGTCACACCAGTGCCAAATACAGAGGTAAACTAACCTCTCTGCTCCTGCATGAGATTCCCTGGTTTATGAATCCCAGGATCAGTTTAGCTCTTTGGGCTATACTATGACCTTGGGAACACCTGTGTTCAGCTGATTATCCACCATGACCCTCAATTCTTTTTCTGTCACTGCTTTTCAGGATCGAGCCCTCCCATCCTATGAGTTCTTGTTCTCAGATATATTAAAACACATATTGTTTGCTTGTAGTCAGTTTACTAAGTAGCCTGAATCCATGAACTGTCCTTTTCATTTCTTACAACTCCCCCAAATGTATGTCATCAGTTGCCCTTCTTTGTATGTTTTCCAATTCTAATATGTATTTTTGAATTGTGAGATGGAACCAGATGCAGTATTCAAGATGTGGGTGTAGTATCAACATATCCAGTGTCATTATGGTATTTACCGTCTTATTTATCCTTTTCCTAATGGTTCCTAACAATCTGTTCTACTTTTTTGACTGCTGCTGCATATTGAACAGATGTTTTCAGAGAACTAGCCACAATGACTCAAGATTTTCTCTTGAGCAGTAACAGCTACCGTATATTCCGGCGTACAAGACGACCTCTGAAGTTAAAAAACATCCCCCCAAAATCGGGGGTCGTCTTGTACGCCGGATGCCCCGCCCCCCGGAGCCCCTCCGCGGCTTTGAAAGCCTCGGGGG